CAAAAAAACCAATGCAAAAAACCCATAAAATGCCTCCATACTGCCCGTGTTTTTTTCATGGATGACACGACATGAGCAGTATGGAGGCATTGTAGTTTTTTCAGTATGTTTAAAAAAATTGATGAACAGTCCAGTTCTTTAAGTCCAGCCCATTACCTATGCTGTTTTCCGACATGATCTGATCTCTGCAGATGCTCTGGAGGAGGCGCATGTGTAAACGCAGATGAAAATGAAAAAAATCTTATGTTATGCTCAGGTTTCCCCTAGGTTGAGCTTAAAGGAGAAGTTCGTTTTTTTTCAACCTAGTCCTTATGTCCAGCATATGGTATGTAGATCTACTCACCCATAAAGGTTTGGAGTAACTTGGAGTCCTTCTGACGCTTTTAGATCCACATGCGATTAGCATATATCCATACAACGCAAGTGACTGGGGCATTCACAATTCAGCCTCTAAATAACGCATTATCTGCAGCGAAACTCTTTATTTACTATGAATCGCCAGCACTAGTCCCCTGTGAGTCCAAGTTGCTTTGTTTACATCCCTTTCACTGGGGTGACGTCACCGAGGCACGCAGCCGCAGGACAGCTGACGATCAGCTGTGTTGATTTACATGGAGTTTGCTGCTGATAGTTTTCCGCAACATGGCAGAATACTTATCAGGTGCTTTACAGTACAGTATTTTTCAAAGCAGCTGTGTCCTGGTGCTTGGGCGTATTCACCCGGTTAAAGGCTAGCTAACTTCAGTGGGATAACGAGCAGCCTCGGAGCTAGCGTTAGCTTAGCGAACCAAGAGCGAGTTGTCTTCCTGTTTAATCAACAAACCCCAGTGAAAGCCCCAAATGTAAACAAAGCAACTTGGACTCACAGGGGACTAGTGATGGCGAATCATAGTAAATAAAGAGTTTCGCTACAGATAATGCGTTATTTAGAGGCTGTATTGTGAATGCCCCAGTCACTTGCGTTGTATGGATAAATGCCAATCGCGTGTGGATCTAAAAGCGTCAGAAGGACTCCAAGTTACTCCAAACCTTTATGGGTGAGTAGATCTACATACCATATGCTGGAAATAAGGACCAGGTTGAATAAAAAACGAACTTCTCCTTTAACGCTGAGTGAGAGGCTCCGCAGTTTCTGTGGACTTTCTCCACCTCGCCTTGTATAAAGTCCATTAAAAAGGGGATCCCTTGCTGTGTTTACTGTGAGTAAGTGGGGGCATTAAAGATACTTCCATAATGTCTGTCTGTCCATCTATGATTTGTTTGCAGTAACTAATTGTAAAAGCTGAGTTCAGTGGCTTCACTAAATAGAACTCAGTCAAGATATGTAAACAGATGATCAGACAGGGTGGAGACAGGTTCATACAGATGATCTTATTTTAAATGTAAACAACCACATCAGAAATAATCCTGCTGAGTCTGAAAAGTTGATTGATATTTACAATGGACAACCAGCATTAGATGAAATGTCAGAGGATCACAACACTGATTGCAACTCTATTAACAGAGTCATCAAGGTGCAGCATTAAGAAACCATGACTGACTGTACAAAATTGCATAGCAATCATTTAGAAGTTGACATATTTCAGTCTGAACCAAAACGGTTGACTGAATAACAGATTGACAAAACAGTCTCTAGAGCTATAGAGCTAGCTGGCCTTACATCCATCTCTGTCCGTGGAGATTCTCTAATCTGTGGAACCCATTCTTTGTTTCTCTCAGTCTCAAATAATTTTTAGAGAGACAACCTTCAAACTGAGTTTTGGGTTAAAGGTTCAGTGTGTAAGATTTAGGTGAAAGGGATCTATTGGCGTAGTGATCTAGTGATGTTTTGACTTGTGTGTGATCATGTAAACATTATGATTGTTGTTTTCTTTGCCCTAGAATGGTCCCTTTATGTTTGAAATACTTTATATATATAATACTTTATGTGGCCATGTTTTTTACAGTAGCCCAAACTGGACAAACTAAACACCGTTTAAACTTTTATGAAAACTGATAGACACCACAGGTTCTCTTTCATGTTTGGAAGGGGAGGGTGAGGTGAGGGGTATTCAGCGGCTACATGCAACTTCACCACTAGATTTCACTGAATTATACACCCTTTAAGTGTGCCTTAATGTTGTATCAGTCAAACCAGGCAGATACCTCCCTGCAGTTCAGATGAAGGAACAAGTTAAGACTTCACAAAATATTGTTTGTTGATGTGTTTTTGCAAATTATATTTTTACTGTAAAAGTTTTCAGATAGATGATGGATATTTTATAAGTGTGTTTGTTTTTAGAATTTTATTTTGTTTTTATTACTCAAGTTTTTATATCAGTAAACTGTGGTCCTTTAGTTGTGGGATTTTTCTTAAAGTGTTAATGTTCCAGTGGTTGATCTTAATTGTTCTATTGTTCTACATAACTGTTTTCTGATTGTAGTAGGTCTGTGGATTGGGGATGCATGAGGTCAATGGGTCTTGATACTACAGCTGTCATGTTTTTTAGGAGCGGGTGGACCCAAAATTGCAGAAGCAAAAACTTTTAATAAAAAGTGTTCTTTAAAGGTCCACTGTGTAAGATTTAGGGAAAGGGAACTATTGGCAGAAATTGAATGTAGAATAATTCTCATGATGTTTTCACTAGTTCATTTCATCTAAATTGTATGAATAGTAGTTTTCTATACCCCAGAAAAGGCCCTTTATATTCAACTCCTTTATATTTACATCAAGGGGACCCTATCTACAGAGGCCGCCATGTTTTTTTACATTGGTCCAGACTGGAAAAACTATACACCTTTTGAGTTTTTATGATAATTAAAGACTACATCAGTTTATTTTTCATGTTTGGAAGGTGAGGGGTGTTCAGCTGCAACATGCAATTTCAACACTAGATATCACCAAATTCTACACACTGTTTAATTAGGCAAAGTCCATAAACAGAAAAAGTACAGCAAACCAAGAGTCAGGGAGCTCTTGTTAAGGTGGCTGCTGCTCAAGCACTGGGGGGACTGGGGGAGTAAGCAGCTGCTGCAGATCAAATACAGGGGAAACTGGAGAAGAGAAGATAGCAACTGCTTCTGTAGCTGTCCAGACACAGAGGGTTCAGGAGAAAATAGCTGCTGCGCTCCGAGGGGGAAGACAGCTGACACTGCAGTAGCAGTAGTACCTATCATGGGGCATGAAATGGAACTGGAGCAGCACCAGCCCTGGCCGTGGGGCAGGAACTGGAGAGACACCTGCCGGGACCCTAGTACGTGGGGCAGCAACTGGAGTGACCCCTGCCTCGACCCTTGTACATGTATTAGGAACTGCCGGAGCCAGCCGGGACCCCTGACCGTGGGGCAGGAACAGGAGCAGGAGTGATGCCTTCCAGGACCCATGTACGTTGGGCAGGAACAGGAGCGGTGCCTGCTGGGACCCCTGACACAGGAACAGGAACAGATGGCAGGACAAACAGGTGAAACTTATCAAGAGAGGAAGTCCAGGTGAAAATCACACAAGGAGCAGAAACTACAAAATAAAACAGGGTGGAACACAGAATGAAACACAATGGAACCAAGGGAACACAGGTAAAGGTTGAAATACAAACACAAACTCAGGGACAGATATGATACACAAGGAGTCCATATAAATGAAAACACTTCATTACAGAGGCAAAAGTCCAAAACGAAAGAGTCCAGCATCATAAAAGTTCATAATTAAAACTAACAATACTCTTCATTAGAGAGTTTAAGATCTGAGTCATGAAGTAAAAGATCATACATTTTCAAGGTAGTTCAAACAGATTTAAATTCCCTCAAACTGTGTCTACTCTTCTGTAGTTCCTGCACTGTTTAGGTTCTGGCACTGATCAAGAATGCACAATACCACATCATAATAAGTAAAGTATTTTCAGATTGAGGATTGCAGTAGCTGACATTTTGAATGTTGCATGTAATATCTTTAATTTTGAATGAAGTTATGCTTCAATGAGAAACATCAATCATATTCCATCAGGCCCATTTCTTGTGGGATAAAGTGTATGGATCTAATTGAGTACTAGCGAAATTTAATTCAAGAAATATTACATTTTTCTCCTCCCATTAAATCGCATATTTGGGGTCCTAAACATGTGTAACTACTGCTGAAACCTTGCACAAGATTCAGATGTGCAAGAAATTTATGTTTCAGTTTTTTTGCACATCGACGTACCCAATTGACTTGATACTGCTCCCTAAAGTGCAGCCCCTACGGCACGTTTTACCAAAATGCCTGATAATCGTTTGTTGTATGTCTTATGCCCACACCTACAAAAAAGTCCCCATAATTCGAAACCAAACAAGAAGTCAGCCATTTTGGATAAAGTGGTCATTGTTGGCGATTCACACACATAGTACTTTAATGATCTCCTCCTCAAGGATTAATCGATTTTTAATTTGATCAGTGGGGTGGCATCAAATTTCAATGTTTTGCTGTGAAGCAGGAAGTTGTTGTGACTTCAGTGTACATTATTCAATCTCCACCATGACTTTTTAGGCATGGTTCATGCATTTTCACCGAACACTCTTGCCATGGTATTGTACCAGAATGGTGTTTAGTTTTTATCAGTTGAAAAATGGTACAGCAGCTCCAGGTAATATCAATAATAATTAAAGCTGCAGTTTGCACAAGTCTGTGTGTGCTGTGGTGTAGTTGCTGGAGGATGGACATAGCTTGGTATTGCATTATGTGTCGGCACAGTGCATGAAAGAGTTAAATGTCACATCCTGTTTAGGCTTGCGCTTTGTTGCTAGTAGGTGGTGCTATGATTATGTTGAATTTTGGCTTATGAATATGGTCTCACATTACATTACATTAATTTTTGCAGACGCTTTTATCCAAAGCGTGTCAGGTAGGTGGGGGGGAACGCGGTAGAAAAAAGGGAACAGGTGTACCAAAACGCAGAACTAAATATTATGTAACGAAAGGTGTCCTTTATTTATAAGGTAAACGTAACAAAAGGAATCTTCAATAAATCAAAAGATGCACTCAGGCAAAACAGAGGAGTAACACGGGGAACGTGGCGAGAGGTGACGAGACACATGAACATGATGAGGGTAAACGACGATGAGGGCATAAGACGACATAAATGACGACGAACCAATGACCACATGGGGGAACACAAAGACTTAAATACAAACTTGAACTAATGAGTAACTGGGGACAGGTGGCACAAGACAAACAGGTGAGCGTGACGAGGGCAGGAAGTCAAATGGGAAAAACACACCAGGAGCAGGGACTACAAAATAAAACAGAGGAACACTGAACAAACTTAAAACATGAATTCAAAACATAACAAAAACACTGTTGAGACATGGACTGAAAACACTCTTCATAAAAGAGGACAAAAATACAATAACCATGACAAAGCGTCTAACAATAAGTGCTTTCAACCTTGAGGGTACAAATTCAGATCATGGATGAGCTGCAGAGGTCGGATAGCACTAGCAGGTAGATGAGCCCGGACATCACTAGCAGGTAGATGAGCCAGGACATCACAACAGGTCATCAAACAATTCTTGCCCAGATTCGACAATGTATAATTAAATAAGTTGAACTTCCTGTTTCATGGCAATATGGCCATGGGCATGCTGTTGAAAGAAAAACTTATGATTAGCACAACTTTTACTCATGAACCTTAACGTATTCAAATCCAAACTTTAAGCAACTACATAAGACTTTTGAAGTTTCTCAATCCACTGAATCCAGTATTCCTCAGGAACAGCTAAGAATCCTACTAATTATTTAGACAGCTTCTCTCCAATCACCCTTGATCAGCTGACCTCAATTATCTCACCATTTAAAACCACAAAAATATCTGTATTGAATATAATCAATCTATCATATATCAACATTCATATTCGACTCGAAACGGCATCATTTAAATCGTGTTTTATGCCTAAAACTCCACTACCAGTGGCTAAGGTAGCTGATGTTGGTATGTACAAACGGTCCCTGAACACACCTCGTTGGAAGATATCAGTGGATTTCAATAAAACCAGAACAATGTAATCAATTAACTGAACTTCAATCATGTTTCAAGGTTATAAAAAATTGGATGACCAACAATTTTATCTTATTATAACCTCGACCATAAGCACCTTAGAGATGCATTATCTAATGATATAGCTATTCTCGAGGGCAATGCCCTTGCTTCTATTGAAAACGATTCTCTCTTAAAACAGATTTCTTACGTAACATCTCAAAAATCAGACATGTTCAGTCCTAAAAAGATCCAGAATGTTTTTTCCACACCTTTGTTACATCCAGGCTTGATTATTGTCATTCCTTATTATCAGGCTCTATCAGTAAATCGTTACAGATTTAGCAGCTTGTCCAAAATACTGCAGCATGTGTCCTGACAAGAACCAGGAAAAGAGACCACATTTCTCCTGTATTAGCTTCACTACACTGGCTTCCTGTTAAATTTTGAGTACAATTTAAAATTCTCCTCCTTACCTACAAGTCCCTAAATAATATGGCACCATCATTCTTTAAAGAGCTCATAGTACCATATCATCCCACTAGAGCACTGTACTTCCAGAATTCAGGCTTACTTGTCGTCCCCAAAGTCTCTAAAAGTAGAGTAGGAGCCAGAGGTTCCTGCTATCAAGCTCCTTTCCTGTGGAATCATCTCCCAGTTTCAGTTCGGGAGGCAGACACCCTCTCTACGTTAAAGAGTAGGCCTTAAACCTTCATTTTTAATAAAGCTTATAGTTAGCGCTGTCTTAGACCAGCTCTTAGTTTTGCTGCTATAGGTCTAGAATGTAACACACATAACACACTTTTCCATTATGTTACAAACTATTTCTTCTAATCAATGTTGTGAATACTGTTATTTTGCTGATCATTTACACATGGCATATATTGCACTTCTGTCTGTTCTGGGAGAGGGATCCCTTACATGTTGCTCTCTCTGAGTTTTCTAAGTTTTTTTCCCTGTTGTTGTGGAAAATCTGCTGATCAATGGTCAACTCATCAGTGAAGAAAGCGTTCAGCAGCCCTTTGATGTCTTATGCTGAAATATTTATTGAAGCTTGGCCAGGGAGAAAATCAGAATTCATCCATACAACATCTGTGCATGATGCTCTCTCATATTCTGAAGTCTGCTTTCCTGCAGTCCCACTTTAAACCCCAACAGATCATTTTATCTATGGGTGTGATTGTTCTTAAACAATAAAATGTATTTTCTAGTTAGTTTTCTAGTTATGGAGACAGTATTGCCTGCTTAAGCAGTCTCATATCTGTGAGGAGTGAAGAGAGTGTAGGCTTTGACCTTCACCAAGCTCTTGCACCTCCCAAAAACAACAGCCTGTTGCACTATGCCCCTGAGAGGACAAGAGACAGTGTCTATGAAAATTCCATAACACCTATTGAGGGTGAAGGACAGGGGATGTTGCACCTTGTGAGACAGATTTTTATTCGTGAATGGGCTATACAAAAACATATTTGAAGTTCTGGTGATTTAAGTATGTACTCTAAAATTACAATAGCCTTCCTCACAGCAAAACTTAAAAATTCCACATTATGCCACATACATCTTTAATGTGTTTTAATTGCATTAACATATTTTACTCTGGACCACTGAGCAAAAATGTAGCCTCATTTCGTTGTCTAAATGACTGTGGCAACTTTCATTCCATTTGCATTTTTCAGAGAGATGTTATAGGTCTTCATCATTGTCCAAAGTTCCTACATGCCGACACTTTGAAACAGCAAACAGGGGAAGCAATAAAATAAATTACATGGTTTACCAGGTGCATTGACCGAGTAAACTGTTATTATCTCATCTCTGATGTGCATGATTAGTCTAATGTCTTTTGAACATCAACTTTCATTGCATTGCCATGGCAACAGCGTTCAATGAAACTGACAAAAATGTAAAAATGTAATTTGTTTGTGTGACCATTGGACATTTAATCAGCAAGAATTTCTACTATCTATTTATAGTACTGTTTACAGTAAGAACAACTGTGTTGCACTGTATTCTCAATTTTTGATAAATCAGAAATCTGTCTAGATCATTTGTGCTAGATCATCTGAAGATGCAGTATAATGAGTTTGGTGTTAATTGATCAAAAATTGTGGGAGGAAATTGTTTCAATTAGTTTTACAGTTTTTTATGAAAAAAGAGCGATGGACTTCATAATTGCTGCCAATTCAATTGAGGGAAAGTTTCTGCTCAATTGGGCCTAGAATTTGATGAAAGTTTAAGCACTTACAGTTGATTTGCTATGAATTTTCAAAGTTTTAAACTTTAGAAGGTTGTTGTAGCACCTTCATCAGGCAGCACATCAGCCCAGCGCCTAATTGTTATGAAAGTTTTCTGGGACCTGGTGAAAGGAGAACTCATGCAGCAGCAGATGTCTTATGCAGAATATTTTAATGTAGACTTGATGCATCTAGAAAACCTGAAGGTGGAACAATATATATATAACACTAACAGAGTAACATGAGCAATTGTCACCTTTAAGTCTGCAGATGTCTCCCCCAGCATCCGCTTATATCTCCACTCTACATAATATATAGTGGTATATACAGAAATGTGTGAGGATGGTCAAAACCTCCTCAACACTAATGATCACATGTGAGTAGGCATAATGTATATCTAAGCAATCTACTTATTATTATAACCCATGCTCAGCTGCTTGCCTGGTCGACGAACAATCCACCATCATGATCCAGGATGTGGCTGCAGCCATAGTCCTGGATTTGCAATGATAAAGCACAAGGACTCCAGGGAAGAAGTCAAGTCAGTAAAGTGTAATGATGAGACATTCATGTAATGAAGAGGGAGAGGGGGAAAGGGAGAACTCCATGTATAATGTTTCCCCTAACAATCTATGCCTATAACAGCATAAATAAAAGCTGTTCCAATTGTATGTTATATTGTAATGTTGACTTCGCATCTCTTATACGATTTTTTAACATTTTTAACATTCCATCCACTTTTCACTCCTCCTGGCAGACAGACTATCATCGTAGATTCGTAGTCAAATGCATTTGACTATTTTTTATGATATCTGCTACATCACTTATCTTCTTTAACATCTGAAAGCCAATGCAAAACTAAAAGAACAGGAGCAATATAGCTAAGCAATGCGGAAGTACACGAGGTGATTCCGCTCTTTCACTACGATCCCTCTACTCTGCTGTCTGTCCCTTTAAACACACTCGGTACTTTCCGCACTCGCTCGGCCCTGCTCGAAATCGCCCTCTTTCACTGCGGCTCCATCGCCGAGCGAACTGGCCCGTTGCTCTCATCCGAGATCTCGGCGGAGACTGTCGAATCCATCAAAGCACCATTTACGGATCCCTGGAAGCTTTCAGCTCGTGCACAAATGCAGGCTATCAAATGTGTGGTGGTCGGCGACGGGTAAGTGTTGAAAACAGTCAGCATCAGAACGTTCTCTCGTGTGTGATTCAGTAATGGGTCTACGGATGAATGGATGATGGGAGGATGCTTTGTAGAAAAAGGAGCTGGGGCCCACCGATGTGTCTGTTGCCCCGATTATCTATCCTTGCTCATGTTCGATGGAAGTGTAGTTACATTACGTTAGTTCGCATCGTGACCACTGAGATACTATGGGGGGACACCTCGCAATCCTCGCAGGCCACCGAAGGCAGGCTGAAGTGCTGATGCACGCTAAGGAATCTGTGGCCCTGTCAATGGCAAACAGGCCCCGCTGCCCTAGTTCTCCTCACACTGTGCGGATTGTGTCCACAGCCCAGTAGCTACAGCAGGATATTTTTTACTGCTGGTGTAAAATCTTTACATTATTGCTAGTTGTAGATATAGACCAGGAAAATTGTGCTCATAAAGTATTAACAATGTTAAGAAAACGCTTCAAATATAAGTCATTACTGTAACCTATGCTTGAAATCAAAATGCTAAAAACTAAATAATTTGGACTTAAATAGAAATGCTGCTTTTTCAGATTCATGATTCTGGTATTCATTTCAGAACACAGATAAGGTTTTGGTTAAAAGTAGATTATGCATTTACAATACTATACTAAACAACTAATCCTGCAAATAAAAAAGGACAGAGCTCAGTTTATTGGTCATGTGAAAAAGGTGAAATTTGCACATTTTCCTGATTGAATGTCTACACAAATAGACTAGTTTTGAGTTGTGCACTTTCACTGTCAAAAATGTCTCCTCCTGTGTGCATGTATCAGCGTTGTTTTTTCTGCCAGAAATGCTATAGTAGGTGTTTAACATCTCTGCCACATTGACAAGACTGACCTGTAAACACATACAAGTAGACAGTGGAGCTTTGGTTTTGGGGATACAAAGCTATTCAGCATTTTCATTTCTAATTATGTTTCAATGGTTAATGACCTACAGTACATGGAGTTTCATTTTTTTAAATGTTGATAGTTAGATATAATTGCTGCTAGGAGTTTACCGGATATGATATAATTTGATTTACATTAACATTTTTACAATTTGAAAATGCCTTGTTTAGTGTACGTCCCAACCAGTGTAGCTTTACTTGTGCCAGAACCATAGACTGTATAAAAAAAAGTGGATGTAGCTTTCGGCTCCAAGAGTTAAAGCCCGTCCATCAGGCTGGCTCAAGTTGCCTCCAAGAAATCTCTGGCTCCATAGACTGCCATTTTAAAAAACACCAACTACTCCCATGAAATACTAATTTCTTAGTGATTACTGTCTCCTTTGCTCGGTAAAACACTCCTTGTCAGAGGTTTGGTTGTCCATCTGAAAAAAAATTATTAGTCGCTTGAGAAGGTTTTTACACCGACGCTGTTAATTTGTTTTAATAAGTTTTGAATTCTTCAGTAACAACAGACACAGAGGAGCTGATGTCTCAGATTCGACATGTGTTCTCTATGCTCCGCAAAAGTTACCTTGTGTTTCTATGTGTTCTGACCAGAGAAGGGGAAACTGCATCCTAGTTATTGTCCCAGTAAATGTGAATTACAATGCTAACCAAGCCAGCTAGTTAGCCGATAGCTTTGCAATGCTGGGCCTACCAGTTCCCTTGGGGATGCTAACCTGTGTTAACCAGATGTTAGAGTTAAGTTCGATTAAAAGGTAGATTCAACCAACATTAACATGAAGACATTTGTTTCTGACACATGTGACTTCGTTGCATAAATGTAAGTTATTAAAAGTCTATGAGTACGTGACATTAGATTTAGTTTTATTATTTCTCCTGGGCTGTGGGTTTTGGATAACTTGGTGTCAAGGTCTTAATTTCTACTTTAATATAATTTTATTGACTAAAGTAGAGGTGTTACCAACTAATACTATCATTTTTTTTCTATTTCTCTGTGCTGACCAAGCTGCAACAACTTGGGCTGAGCAATGAGGCCAATACGGATGTGCAAAAAGCTGCAGTTCACTGGGTGGCTACTTGAGGCTGGCTCAATTCCCATTGACTCCCATGCTTAAAAGCCCGACTTTAGAGCAGAATTAGACCTGTTTACAGCCTGGTTCAAAAAACGTTTTTTGTCTCAATCACTTAGTTATTCCTTCATGACAACTGTGTTGTCTCGCTTGTTTAGATAATATAGAGGTTTGAAATTGTGAATTATCACTTGATTGATACGTGACATCACCGTAAGCTTGTTACTCTGACTGTTAGCCTGTGGTCTGCTCTGCTTCACCTGAGCTAACAGGCTAATCCCCGTCACCTGACATGACCGGGATCTGTGGAGGAGTTTTCAGTCACATGTCAAATTAATATCATCGTTTGTTGTTCGGCTGCTTGTCCTGACAGAGAAGTCCAAGACATCTGTGCTCCAGTTTCTGTGGTGAGTAAAGTACTGTACTTTATTTATGTGTTAGTAGTGATGAGCAGGTATCATTGTCTCTGTACCTGGCTTGTTAGCTTAGCTCTGCTAACTTCTAGGCAAAATACCAGCAGTAATGGCGATGCTAACGGGAGCAACGGGAGTTTTTAAACTGACATGAACCGGTCCACATGGCAGAGAGAGAAGCATTAGAGTTTATGGTGATACATCTTATAAACTAAGGGCCAGTGTGTGTTTGGAGAATAGGCTCCACCAAGTTAGATATCTAACGTTATTTAAAGTTGTTTAGCCCGTCAACCTATTTGGCTTGACTATGTTACTGTGAGTAACTTCAGTATTAATGTTTGATTAGATTATTGTTTCAGAAATAATGTTAGTGCAGCTGCTGCAGTGTGAAACTGGTTGAGCTGGACTTTATTTATTACCACATTCATTAATATTACCACAAGCCTAGATTATCATACTGCAGGAACAGATTTACTGTGATCGACTGAAACGTGAACCTGTGACTCAGATATCCTGCAACCATGGATGTCCAACATGAGAAGACAGAACTGGACTCCAACAAGACTGAACACTGAGTCATCACTTCAGCACTGACTCCAGGTATAGACCTGTTTTCATAACTAACTAACAATTAAATAAAGTATTGCACATAATGCATTACATTATATTTGCAATACAATATGCAGTATGGAAGAACTCCACACATTCATTGTCTTGGTTGCTACCACTGTTTAATCCCAAACCATATTCAGATACATTGTTGGATATCCACAGAATATAAGGACACAAACTTTGTTTGAAAGTAACACTTAGCTCTGCAATAATGCCATACTTTCATGTTTCCTGTCATTTTATTAGGGACGGAGGAACCTGAGGGACACAGCTGTGCTGAGTGTGTCTCTTATGGCAAAAAAGGAAAGAAAACACTGTTTTTATCTGAAGTTTATCAAATCAGAAAGTAAAAGATGAACATTGTTGTGATAACAGTGTTAATTTTTTATTTACCAACCCTAATGGATAAAGAAATTGACTCAATATTATCCATGACATTTGGCAAAGACTGCCAACTCTAAGCAGTTGCAGGTGATCTTTAGTTGATGGAGGAAGACATGAAGTGTTGATAAAGCTTTTGCAGGTCGTCCTCATATTGACCAGCCTGAAGCTGCCGATCTCCACCATGTTGCTGCTGCCACAGTGGATTCTGAGGACATCAGGTGCTGCAGTGCTTCATGAAATTAAATGAAATCAAAAAAGTCGCGATAAAGGATGTTTTATGCTGAAATTATTGTCACATCTGTAGATAATAAGGAACATAGGATAAATCCTTACAATTATTTACAGATACTGTACAATACAATAATTACAATACTTTTGGCACATGCAATATCAGCTGTGTTAAGCAGCCAAGACTGGTACTTACAGATTATTCTGTGTTCAGCAGGTGGAAGCACCACAGATTTCAGCCAAATTGATGTACTAAAAGAAATAAACATTGTACAAATATATAAAATGTCTTTCTAGCACATTTGTAATATTCAAGGTGATAATCTCTCACAGTGCTGTTGATAACAGTCCACATCAAGTCCCTCAACTTCTCAAACTTAAAACAGATAAATATATAATAAATATGAGCACTGTTTACAACAGTGGTGTCTGGAGATCATAATAACATCTAAACTGTCATATAATTACACATCTGCACTCATTTTAACTCACTGTGAATTCCATAACAGGCTAAAAAACGAGGTTGTAATAGTAATGGTGGTTATACGAATATGTATCAGAACATTTGTGAAACACAATTACTATCACATGCAATTTACACATGTAGTTTATTAATGTTAACTTATTAAAATTACAATCAAATGATGACACAGAACTATTTACTAAAGATCTGTAAACTTAGTATGAGGTAGTTAAATTGCCTCATTGTTCATTAGAGGTGTTAAATAAACGGTACATTTAAAAACCACTTGAGGCATGTAAGCATATGAAGTATGATTATGATAATAGATAAATCAATAGGTTTTGTTGTTTTATAGTTTCAGGGTAACTTATCACTGTTTGGTTCATTGTTACAACAGTGACCATCCCGGAGCAACAACACTACAGCACTAGCCGGTTAGCAGTAGTGGGTAGCATGTAGCCTAGCTCCTTAGCCTAAGCTAACCAGGTAATGATGAGCTCTGTGGGCGTGGCTCAGTTGCTGTACTCGCTGTTCCTCCTCTTTGCCCATTTATGGGTTGGCCACAGGTGACGTCATTGACACTACGTCCATCTTTATATAAAGTCTATGGTACTAACATGCTTTTGTAAATCATCCATGAATCTAACAGAGGCAGAAAGACTGAAGCTTTAGTTGATGATGAGGACCTCATCGAATGATCACGACGACTGGTGTCAAAAGAAGGAAGCCCTCGTGTGGAGCAGCATATTTTGTGCCATTCTTCAGGATGTAGAGGAGAGAGACGGGATAACAACATCATTAATTCTTTAATCAGATGTGCTGTCAATATACCAACTCCAGTTCAGTTTTCTCTGATGAGATGTCAGTACAAGCAGGGTCTCCCTGCTGTGTGGAAGACCCTGT